AGGCTGCCGAAGCAAGCACTCGATGAGATGAGTGTGTTTTGAATGGATAAAGAGATGCGGGAAAGGCAGATCTGTAACGTGGGGGGGGGGGTGGTGCCCGGACAGGGAATCTTTACGTCTACCTTCAGTCTTGACTGAATAACTTTTCTAGATGTGAACGTTGGGCTCCCATCACCAAATGCTGAACACCACGAACTGTCCCGGCCAGTTCAGCATCAATGCACATGTGTTGTCAGCTGTGATAGTACAGGTGAAAGTGCTTGGAAAATACAAGGTTTCGCAAGAAGCCAGTTGCTCTTGGGCAAAGAATCACAGAGCAACACACGCACGTGTAAGGAGATACTTTGCCCAACATAAAACCAAGCAGAGAAATAAGTTCTGTGAGAGAGATTGGGTTTGGATTTTTTTCAATTAAGGAGATCATTAAGGAAAATGTTCATTTCATAGGCCATTTAGAATAGGAAGGGAATTGAGAAATCATGTGTCTCATCTTGTGCCTTCAGAGAGAAAAAGCATCATTAGCGGTTAGTAGGGTAGTAGAGGACTCAGACTGCCTGCACTGGGAATCTTGACCCCATTCCTGTCTGGCTGTGAGACCTTGGGTAAGTCTCTTAACCTCTTTGTGCCTCGGTCTCCTTTTCCAAAAAGTTCAGAGAATAAAACATCTTCCTGAAACATGACTCTGCGAGGATTATGTAAGATAATGCACCAAAAACACTCGAGCAGCGCCTGTTTAATAAATATCGGCTATTAGCTTCATTTTGCAAACAAAGTGCTGGAATTTCAGAACACTTAAGAGATTTGTTCAAAGCTGCACAGAGAACACATGGTGGGGCGAGATCTAGAACCCAGAACCTCTGCCTCCTGAAGTACTGCGGGGGAGATTTAAGCGTGTTTCAAAGATCTACGCTATTGAGCATATTTAATACCCGAGGTAGACATATGCTGCAGAACAGTGTATTACCAGGGTGCTGGTAAAGCCACAATGGCATTTATATTTCACAACCGATTATTATTTCTTATCAAGAAGATTCTAATAATCCTCCTCTGAAAAACGTCCCAAGGAAATGTGAGCACGCCACCTATTTAGGGTGACTTCCTATCTTTAGTGGTTTTCAAGGACATTTTTATTACTTGCTAAAATGTTTTATAATCTAAGTTTCGAGGCTTCGCTCAGAAAGCGTTGAGCCTATTTCCTTAGCAGAGTTATTTATAAACGAGAGTTTAAAAGGCAATGCGAAGTATGTGAGCTATGGAACAGCCTCTCCGTGCTGCCTTTCGTCACACACCTCCACCGGCAGGCTTTTGTGGCTTTGGCCGATGCAGAGGCTAGCCTCGTCTGGTGTCCTTTATCGACAGATGCGAGATAGATACCATGGAATGTCTCAAAGTAGGTATACGGAAAATTTCACGTGATCAGACTGGGAGAGTGGGGAGTCGTCGTATTTAACAAGGCATCACACAGAGAAAGTTTCAAAATTCTGTAAACACAGGAGCCATTCACCTTCGGCCACAGGTCAGACACCTGAACTGCTGTAAGATGCCAGTTGACTGGCCTACATTTGCAGTAGAGAGCTGGTGGTCCCAGTGGACCCCTACCCTCCACATTCTTCTTTTATTTGATCTATACTCCGCTAGATAACCATCAGTTTAAAAAGTGAAGGTATAGAAGACATCACACAGTTTGCACCTTGTGGCAATTACCTAGGCTTTCTGGGCCTCAGTTACCAAACTAACGATAATAATAACTAACATTTATTGAGGATTCACTCTGTGTCAGGTACTGTTCAAAGCACTTGCCATTGAATAATTCCTTTTCTTTCTTTTTTAAAGATTTTATTTATTCATGAGAGACACAGAGAGAGAGTCAGAGACAGAGGCAGAGGCAGAAGCAGGCTCCATGCTGGGAGCCTGACTCGGGACTCGATCCCAGGACCCCGGCGTCACGCCCTGAGCCCAAGGCAGACGCTCAACCACTGAGCCCCCCAGGGGCCACAGAATAATTCCTTTTCTATGCTACTTTCCTTACACAGTTTGTTGCTAGAATTAAGGGAAGTAATTCAGGCAAAGTTCTTAGCACAGGCCCTGAGCTCTCAAAAAAAGTTAGCTGTTTTCTTGTTGTTACAACTAACTAGAAATTATAGCAATAACAAAAATGCCTTCTACTCAGATAAAACTTCAAGAGGCTTTTTAAAACGTTTAGTTGGATTAAGTCCCAAAGCTTGGTGATATCCCAGAAGCACCCACAACCTAACTCAGCACCGGACACATGTTAAATGATCGATAAATATTTATGAAAATAATAAGTACCCTAGATTGTATGGACATTTTTGTAGGATTTCTCAGGGAAGAAAGTATGTAGCTTTCTTCAGATTCTCAAAATATTATTTCATGGTCTGAGAAATCAAGAAGCACTCCTGAAAAGAAGTTGTCACCTGGCCAGTAAGGAAGTCCTAATAAGCATAACAAGGAAGTGGGGAGGAAGGATCCAGTGGAGCTGGCTCCCCACCATGAGAGGATTTGGAAAAGCCTGCGGATGCCAGCCTCTGGGCCTCTGGGTCTGTGTCCAGGACAGCTCACCGCCACCCCTGCCCCCAAACTGGGAGATTCTCATTTACCGTCTACGGCCATTTCCAGGAGACTCTGTGGGATTACTGGCTGTACGTCTAGCCTCGAACGGATGATTCAACGTCAGATCATTTCGTTCTGGTTTTGCAGGAATCATAGAATGTTCGTGCTGGAAAGAACCTCATACATAATCTGTTTCAGGGTTTTCAGATCTGTAGCAGATGTGCCACTGCTTCTCTTTCTGCACCCACGGGAGGCCTCTCTGACTGGGGACAGCACTCTTTGCATCCCTGCCTTTAAACCCTTCTTAGCATAATCATGCAGCGCAGCGGGCACCGATTGATTGAAATCAGCAGGCACAGGGCAGCCGGTTCTCCAGCCGCATCCTGTGCTCAGTATTCTCCTACTACTGGGGGGAAGACTGGAGGGACGGCATTTGACATGTCCACGGGTTGGACGTGAGTCCTGTGAAGTGAGTGACAGGAAAGGTTTGAGCTATTAAGTGTCGTGACTCCCAACTACAGTCATTTAAGCGCCAAACACTGTCTCCTTTGCCTCTGCGGGTTTCCCCTCATCGTTCATAGGCTACAGACGGAAACCCTGTCCAACCTTCTCGCAGCCCAGGATAGGGGCAGCTAAAAACAGGCTCCTGAGGGATGCAAAGAGCGTACAAATGATTATTTTAAGTATTATTCCATGTGTTGTTCGCTTTTCTATTTTAAACAATGAGGGAGCTATGCAAAGGTTCGGGCCCCAGCATCCTTGCAAGGAGCAATGTGGGAAAGTTCTGTACTTAAATCTAAGAGACCCGGAGCTGTTACAACACGTTGTCAGTCACTTTCTGGGCCTCAGTTTCCCCTGCAGTAATAGGAGGATATTAGGGACACATCATAGGGGCAGAAAACTGGATTCTTTGTGTATGAGAGAGAAAAGACGGCTCACTGTGGAAGGGGAGATTATGAACATTTATTTATTTTCCTCTGTGTGTGCGCACATATGTGTGTGTTTGTGTGAAAGGAAAGCATATTCAAGGCGAGAGGGAGGGGCTAGGGACAGACATGAAATAAAGTGCATTTCCACCTTTTAAAGGCATCAATAACCTAGGCCTGGTTTCAAAATTATGAAGCCTCGTTAGAGCTCCTACAAGCGAGAATGGAACCCTCCGTCTGCATTAGAGGGAATATAACTTATGAGCCTTGTCATAAACTTTTCCAGTTGCTTCTCTGGGAAAAACTGGGGGGGGGGGGATGGAGCTTTTAAGCAGTCCAGCAGAGATCAGCTTCTCGCGGGACCTAGATGTTTTTCTTTCGAGGCTGGTAAGGGTGGCCAGGGAAGAGAGGGTGGCTAAGTGGGTAGCCGCTCGCCATACACTCTGAGGCAACTGGCTTAAATCCCACCCTTCTGGTGCCTCGTGCACTGCGCCCCTCTCTGCAATAGGACAGTCACGGATATCAATGAGAAAATAAGCCAGTCTTACACGAGAACATATTTATTGGCTGAATAATAAAACTTAGCTCAGGAGTTACTAGGATGAGAATCCCCCCTACTCGCAGTACAGGTTTCCCGTAAGCACACAGAAGCGAAGCCCCCAACGCAGGCCCGGTGCATGGGTGACCCAGGCCTCGGGGGTGTGTTCAAACGAGCTATCTACTTGTCTCCCTAAGGGGCTGCGGCTCTGAGAGCGCAGGATACAGCGAGCGGCACGCGGCGGGCCCCGCGCCACCTGCGCCCACCTGCAGCCACCTGCGCCCGCCTGCGCCACCTGCGCCACCTGCGCCACCCCAGCGCCGGGCCTTCCACGTGGCCACGTGAGCTTACGCGCACCCAGGCACCCGGGGCGTCTCCGCCGCGAAGGGCGCATAGAGTTTGCAGGCGATGCGCCTACGAAAGCCCCCAGAGTTAAAGCCCAGCAACCCCAGAAAGCCCCCACACTAGACACAGAACCTTGGAGACCCTGGTTAATAAATAAGAGAGCCGAGGAGAAGGCGAGGCTGCGGGGCGCGGCGGGGCGGGGCGCCCGGGAAAGGGCCCGGGGCGCGGGGAGCAGGAGGGCGGGAGGCGAGGCGGCCCTGTGCGCCGCGGGGTCCAGGGCGGGGGGGGGTGGAGCCGCTCCCCGCTGCATCACCCGAGTCCTCGGGGACGTGGCTGCGACAGGTGCGTCTGCGGAGCCCCGGGCCCTGGGGATGGGGGGGGGGTGGAGCCGCTCCCCGCTGCATCACCCGAGTCCTCGGGTGCGTGGCTGCGACAGGTGCGTCTGCGGAGCCCCGGGCCCTGGTGGGTGGGGGAGCTTCCCGCTGCATCACCCGTGTCCTCGGGTGCGTGGCTGCGACAGGTGCGTCTGCGGAGCCCCGGGCCCTGGTGGACGGGGGAGCTTCCCGCTGCATCACCCGTGTCCTCGGGTGCGTGGCTGCGACAGGTGCGTCTGCGGAGCCCCGGGCCCTGGTGGGCGGGGGAGCTTCCCACGTCCTCGGCGCCCCGCGGTCCGCGCCGGAGCGCGCCGGCCCCCGACGGAGCAGGTCCCGGGGTGGGGGTGGGGGTGGGGGTGGGGGCCGGGGTGGGGGAGCGCCCCCGCGGCCGCCCGCACCTAGGCCTTCAGGTGCTCGTTCTTCAGCCGCCCGAGCCGGGTGCCGTGGCTGCGCACGGTGAGCGCCAGCAGCTCGTACCTGTCGCCGAGCCCCGCGGCCACGGCGAGCGTGTCCTTGAGCAGGGCGGCCGTGCGGCGCAGCATGCCCAGGAAGTCGTCGCCCAGCCGGCCGTCGGGCCGCCCCGCCTGCTCCTGGCCCTGCCGGAACTTGCTCTCCAGCTCGGCGAGCGAGCGGTCCGAGAGCGAGTAGGCGTCGCCGATCTGGTGCGACTCGCGCCGCAGGTACTTGCCGTAGCTCTCCTCGCCGTCCAGGTCGTACGAGATGCTCTTGCTGAGGCCCTCCAGCACGCGGCCCGCGTCCTCCACCTGGCGGCCCAGCACCGTGAACTCGTCGCGGAGGCTGAGGCTCAGCGCCCCGCGGCCCGGGCCCGCGTCCCCGGGAGGGCAGCGCCGGCGCTCGCTCACGCGGAACAGCAGCTGGCACTTCTCGGGGTCGTCGTTCTCCTCGTAGTCCCCGTCGGGCACGAAGTAGTGGTGCAGGGTGCCGTTGGACATCTCGGGGTACAGCGGGCCGTCGAAGTAGCCGCCGCACAGGTGCCAGAGGACGCCCACCCAGAGGAGCCCCAGGGCGCGCATCCTGCCCGGCCGCGGAGGGTGCTCGGCGCGCGGAGCTGGGGGCCCCGGAGTCAGCGCCGCCCCGGGACGGCGGCCGCCGCGGTCCCCGCCCCAGCCGGCCTCATGTGGCTGAGCCGGGGCGCCTGGGTCGCGCGGCCCCGCAGCGCGGGAGGCGCCGGGCTCCGCGCCTCTAGCCGCGTCGCTAGCCGCGTCCCTAACCGCGTCCCTAACCGCGTCCCTAACCGCGGCTCTAACCGCGTCCCTCTGCGCGCCCCTGCGCCTGCGCGTCCGCTGGGGCTGCAGCTGAGCCTGCTCTTCCCCGGGGCGGCGGCGGCGGGGATGCGGGCAGGAGGCGGGACCCCTCCTCCAGGGCTCCGCAGCACCCCCGCCCCGGCTCTGGCTCTCTCGGTCCCTCTCTATCTCTGCGAGGTCCCCCCTCGCTCCTGAGAGCTGGAGCCTCCGGCTGCGCAGGAAGGCTCTAGTCTTCTGATGGGACCTCAACCTCTGCACTGGGTGGGAATGTGGAGCTTTTCCTTTGGCTAATGATATCCCGAGGATCTCTCCGCTCTCGAATTACAGCTGGTTTCGTCACTTGGAAGCCAGGGAACAAGTTTGGAAAGAAACCTCTCGCCAGGTCTCTGTTATTAAAGGTACAGAATCTTTTTTTTTTTTTTTTTGGAAGACTGGAAGGGAAAATAGAATTTAAATAGAATGGGAAAATAGAAATTTAAAAATAGGAAATAGAGTCTAAAGCAGAGAATGAGAACAAGGTAAATAGAACTCCCACAACAGGAAGACTGATTTGCTATTAATGGATGGGGCAGGGGGGGGGGAGGGGGATGACCCCGGAGAAATTCTACTTCTTATTTTATGTAAGGACCGGTTAGGTTGGATTCATTAAGGGTTTCTATTTTTATCATGAAAATATTGGTGACTTTGAAGGCAAGTGTGCAAGGTTGTGTGGAAATGCTCACTTAGTTAAAAGTCTCAATAGCAATACTTTGGGAGCAACAAAATATAGAAAACTGAGTGATGCACGGTTGCCAGTATGTACAGGAACACAGGCTGAAATGAAAGTTTGCCTATTTATTTATTTACTTATTTTTTATTTTTAAATTTTTTATTACTTTTATTTTTTTAAAGATTTTATTTATTTATTCATGATAGAGAGAGAGAGAGGCAGAGGGAGAAGCAGGCTCCATGCAGGGAGCCCGATGTGGGACTCGATCCCGGGTCCCCAGGATCACGCCCTGGGCTGCAGGCAGCACTAAACCGCTGCACCACCAGGGCTGCCCTATTTTATTTATTTATTGCCAATTTAATAAGTAAGTCGACAACAGAGATAACCGTTGCATCCTGTGCAACCCCATCCCACGCTAAGCGTCAGCAAAGCAGCGTTAGCCGGACGCCTTTGCGGCTACTGCCTCTCTAGAGATACCTTTGGAAGAGCGTAGGCCTGACACTGTCATGTCCATTTTCCAGGTGGAGAAACCGAGGGACATGATGGGAAACAAATTGTTTGTAGTCACAGAGTCAGACTGCAGTGCAGCCAGCACCAGGGCCTTTTCATTTAACTTAGAAAAACAAAGTGTTTTTTTGTGTCAGCAGGCCATTTTCGTTTCTGACCTATGACTTAGTGGCAAACTGCCACCCAGCAGGCTAAGTCGTGTTAATGAGGACTAGCTATTGAGCATCTACTCTATGCAAGAGTCTATTTTAGATACTGCTAACAGAGCCGTGGGGGGGGGGGAAATATATAAACAAACACTTGCCCTCTTGCAGCTTATATTCGAAAATTAAATGACTGTAAATAAAGAAGATACACTGCACGTTGACAGCGATGGGGCTGGAGAAAAGACAGGGAAAGGATGGGGAAGTGCAGGCGGCGCTCCTCTTTCTGTAGTTATTTCCCGTCTGCCTTGGAATGTGGCTGAAATACTCATGTGAGCTGCCTGTGTTAGCACTTATCTTCCTGTCCACGTCATCAGGGACTGGTGTCATTCAGAGCTTCAGTGCCCTGCAGTTCTGGGACTGTCGTGCTTGTGTCCGTCACTTTCGGACATAAACAACCCAGATGCCTGAATAGACAAATGAGAAGTCTGGTTAAGTTACTGGATTTTTTGTCACTGCGGTGCCACAGGCATAGATTTTTTGAGACACGTTGACTGCACATTTTGATTCTTACCCAGATATTTGGCATCGTGAAAACAATGACAAAAGGAGTTTTCTTAACGACTAATGCTAACCAAAAAGACCATGACTTATATTCACTGCATTCCAGGGGGAAACTACCACCTTCTCCATCGGAGAGACTGGACTGTTGGACTCAAGAGCCGTATGACTTCATTTTCTTTTTTTTCCCTGGGACATTCACAAATGACAACAGATGGATTCAACTTGGTTGCTTGGCCAAAGAAAGGAAGAAGAATTTACTCGGGTTCACTCCACTTCTTGCACAATCCTTCCCTGGCTTACTAACCAATTCAATTAAGCAAACCTAAATTAAGCACTTATTACTACAAGTCCCCCACTCCGTGCACGTGCTAAGTTAGCTATAGATGCAAAGATGCGCAGCAGGAAGTTTCAGCCTACGAAGAGTTTGCTCGCAGGTTAAAGAGTCAGGCATATATACACAAATAATCATGATGAGAATGGCTGAGAGTATTTATTTTTTCCTACAATTACCCCGTCTAAATATATAAACTCCATGTCATGTATCAGGAAGGCATCACTCTGGTACAAGTAACTGAAAGTCTAATTCAATCACACTAAAGTTAAAAAGGAATTCACTGACTTACAGAAAGTCTATAATTAGATTTTCAGTCTATGCCTGGTCCAGAATCTAGTCTCTCTCGCCATTTTTTTTTTTTGATTCTACTTCCTCAGCTTAAATTCATTCTTGGGTAGTTCTTTTCATTGGAGGTTCCAGGACGGCTCCCAGTGCCTCCTGGGGCTACAAACTTCCTTGTTCACGTATAGTAGGAATGAGGGGTTATGCATGGCAGATCCTGTCAATCAACCTCAGTAGCCTTGTTGGTTTGATGGGAGTCATTAATTCATCCTTGAACCAGGCCGACTGTAGTCAGGAGTTTGGGATTGGCCACTGGGCTCAAGACAATAAGGACCCGGGTCAGTAGCTAAAGGCAAGGTACCATGCAAACTACATGGATGAAAAGTTGAAGGTCTTATTTAGGAAGGGGGTAGTATGAGAATGGATTCTGGGGAAGTAACTACAAATATTCCTCCTACCCCGTGCATTTGTCTTTACCAACCACTTTTGAAAGACACCAGCACTCGTTTGTAGTTGTGTGCCTTCAAGTATTTAACAGCCAGCTGTATGCTCTTTGTAGCATTTGCTGATTTCCATGGTGTGAATACACTCACCATGCCTGGGTCACTGAACGCACAGTTAGGAGGATGTGTGCGATGGCACACCATGACATAGCATTTCCATCATATGGGTCCATTAGATCCAGGTAACCCCTAAAGCATAGAAAATAGTAAAATAATTACAAAGCGATGAGTTTTATATATGCATTCCTTTAATTGTAATATATTTTATTTAACTACAAGTTTAAATAACAGAATTTTCAATGATGACTGTGTTTAACAACTGACTTGCAAAATTCCCAGAAACCTAACCATTGGCTCTCATGAGCCAGTGCTAGTCAGCTCCAGCACAGCATGGCCTTTTGCAGTGAACGCTTCATCTTGTTCGTTTTTAAAAGTTACTTATTATAAGGGTGCCCCCATATGTGCCCAATCCCATCTTGGGCTGGTCCCCTAGAGTCAGAGTTAAAGTGGGCTTCTAAGGATTGGCCTGAAGTAAATGCAGCCAGAGGAAATATCCAGACCCAGACATGCAAGAGGGAGGACTTGGAAGAGTAAACTCGAGAAGTATCATCTGCTGATAGGGACGATAGTTGAGTCTAGGGCTGAAAACTAGAGATGAAGTCAAAGGTCAGGAATTGGGTAAATTTAAGAGTAAAGGAGGACCCCAGGGGCAGTGGCCGGAGTCATGGAAGTAGGTAAGCGCTGTCATCCAGTACCAGCTGCTGATTTGCGATCCTCACCATGTGACGCAGCAGGGTTGGCTAGCTCACAGCTTGTGTGTCCTTTCTTCTTTTCAGTGTACTTTAAACTCGTGTTCCTTTGGTCCAGTTACCACTTCAGAGAAGGAAGCAGGAAATCAGGCTGGGACCATCGCCTAAAGACCTCTAAGACTTCTTAAGCTCCATGATGTCCCCCTGCCAAAGAGCTTGGTGATCCCCTGACCGTTTCTGATTATGATACTAGTGGAATTTTTATAGAAAAGAGGCTTGTATGAGATGAGGTCCCACTATGAGGTCTGGAAACCCAAAATGTGTCTCTGGGAAGTGGAAGCCCTCACTCTCAACAGCTCTCCTCCCCCAAACCATCAGTCTGAATCCCTGGACCATGTCAGAGAAGAAACAAGAACAAGGAGTTAGCTTGTACCAGAGTAGAAGTTTTGGGGTCGGAAAATGGAGAAAAAGAGGACAAAGAGGGTAAGAAGTCCCCAGTACTTAGTACTTTGGGTATTATCTTATCAATTAACAGGTAATCAGTAGCATTTATGAAACCTTCATTGTCTACAGGGGGTGGGAAGGAGAAAAGAAGAGAAATAGATGAGAAGAAAGAAAAGAGAAAATTAGGTAAGGAAGAAAGGTAGCAAGTAAAGGAGGAAGAAAAGACAGAAGGAAAAAAAAGAAGAGAGCGAGTGGGAGAAATTCTGGTGATCTAATCTCCTGTTTGTCCAGTTGCTCAGTGAAGTGATTATTAGTATTCGCTGTAAGAGCATCGATGAGGGCAGAGCATTATTTAACAAGAACAGTCACAAAGTCCCCATGAAATATGGTCAATAAAACACGCCCATGAAAACGTAACGAGAGGACTTGCACGGAAATAAGTGTATCGTGGGAAGAGGTCAGTTCTCCCAGTCGGTCTCCATCGGTAGAGCAGGCTGTGATATGCTGCGTAACAAACATCACCGACACGCTACCACCAAGTTCAAGCCTGCTGCGAGTCAGGGTGACCCAGTGACTCCCCTCTACGCCTTAACTATGGTGGCATTTCCTCTGAAAGCCTCTCCTTCGTTTCGCAATTTTAATTCGTTTTCCCTCTCGGTTTCTTTTA